GACCCCCCCTCCTGCGGTTCCTGCCTAAGATATTTTATCGCGTATGTACTTGTACCCATGTGGTGGGCCTCTTGGTGAGTGTGTGTGTGCGAGACTTTGTAGACTACTCTTGCACTTGTGCTGTACATGAAACACTTGTACAGCAGCAGTAATAGTATTGCAGACTCTAACCCAAAACACTGCGGCGACCCGGGCGATCAGAATCATTTCCGGCAGCAACGCGTTGCGAACGTTTCCACGACTGCTGTTCCGACCGTGTCACACAGCAGAAAACGTTAGAGAACAGCCGTCCTACTGCTTGGTGTAGGTTGCTGCGTATTCTCTCCTGTCTGTATCACACATGGAGTATAAACTGAAGTGTGGGCTAGGCTAAACTTACCCAAATAAGTCCCGCATCCAGCAGGTGCTCCTCAACCCTCGCTGCAGCACAGAGCTAAACAACCTGAACCGGGGTATCTCTCGAATGGGAACTGGAGCAGTACACCCGCTATTGTAGGTTATGCACTATGGAAGATGACAATAAAGAGCCGCTCTTTATTGTCATCTTCCATAGGTAGGTGCTCTTCATTGTCATCTTCCATAGGATCTTCCACAGGTTGTGCAAGACTACCATATTTCCTTCTCACATCCATATATACAGCAGTGCAAGACGGAATTCCGACCCGCGGGTTATCGTCAACTTATGCAATGCAGCAGTAGCAAAATGCGGAGCCGTGGGACTCGGGGCTGTGTTCCGTAAGACGCAGGGGTCGCGGGTGCCGGTGCCGGGCTTTGTTTCGGTGGGCAGGTCAAAGGCATGCGAGGTGTGCTTTGCAGCAAACGTGCGGTATGATGTTGGAGTTTCCGTCCAGCATCTGGTGTACATACTGCATTATGTAGGTGTGACGTGGGTACATACCCGATCACCGCGCACATCGATTGCCAGCGAGTGGCATATTGCAGTCCTGCCTGCTCGTGATCCTCAGCAGCCTATGTCGTACCAGGCGACAGCAGCAGTCTACTGCTGTAGTCATTCCCAAACGTGCACGTCAGCAGCCAGCATTTGTTTCCACGCTAGGCGCTCACCCGTCAAGTGCGTGCGGGGCCGCACATCCATCAAAATCCGAGATATTGGCGGGAGAGCGGTGGGTTGCTGACCGGCGGTACCCTACTGGCCACGGCGCTGCTGTAGGCAGACGAGATACGACCCACAGCTAGATACGACAGGCGTGGAACATACAAGGCCTGGTTCCTGGTATCACGCGCCAGAACGAGAACCAAAATAGCGGGTGATCGTGTACCCTCCTTGCACATCAAATGTTCTGCATGGCACAGACCCGACCGAGTCGGGAATGATAAACACACACACACGAAAGACAACCCATTCGAGATATACCTTCTAAAAGACACAATCCATGGACACAGCGCCGATCCTCGAACTGCTGTGGCAAGACCAGATAACGGCGGGTGCTGCGTCCACATCGCCGGAGATGTACGTCGCATGGAAGACGAGCAAAGGCTCTCGTGGATACATCAGGCTTCTAGGATTGGTGGTCTGTGCCAACTATTCAGCCAAACAGCAGCTTTCTCAGCAACCCGCCGTCCACACCACAGCAGCTCTTGAAATCACGGAAGCATCACTACTTGGCGACCCTCACGGCCGTGGGGCTGTGGACTTCCACAGGAGCACAGCAGTGGTAGAGGCGTGCACACCATATCCATGTCACACCATGTACATGTTCCTATCAGGATTCATCAGAAGAGGTCGCTGGTACTCGCCAAGAGTGTGTCGTGCATATGCAAGCAAAGCAAAGTGTCTTCACGGGGCATCTCGTGGGCTTGCAGTTTCCCGCTGCACGTTGTCCTCCTCCCTCTTTCTCTCTGCCTACTCCTCGCTTTCTCACACCCCCCCCCTCATGTCTCACCTTGAAAATGTAATGCCCCTCTTGTTTCCGTGGGTCCCTCCTGTCTGTCCTCTTCTTTTTCCGGCCGCAAACAGGTGTGAGGGGCTCGACGCTCACGGCGCTCTCGGCGCTTGCTTCCAGCAGGGGGTGGTTTAGCCCGGAGAAAATGCGGCGAGATTCCGCGAGGAGAGATTGGACGCTTCTTTGCCATGATTGATTGTAATATTGTAATCATGTCTACTTTCGAGTGTCTACAAGATGACGTCGGATGTTGCTACTCCGAGGAGTATACGACACCAGACCAAGTCGCTGTGTTGCTGTCGTTGTCTACTATTCCTCGGTCAGTGTGTGTACCTCCAAACATCCTTGTGAGAAAATACGTACACTTCATCCAAGTATTTTGTTGCATGTGTGCCATCACGACAGACTTTGGCCCACATCGATCATTGACGCGGAGGATAGGGCCAACGCACGAAGAGCTTTCTTCTTTACGAAGGAACGTGCGAAAGGGTGGGTTTCTGTAGTGCATCGTAAACGTAGCGAAGCTTCATCGGGGCCAAGGGAGAAACCTACTACAGCAGTGAAATGGAGCGAGGACGTACCAGAGGTAGGACAGAGTTCACACGTGCCACAAAGCGAACAACGGACGGGTAAATAAATCATTTTAACTAGGAAAAACAAGTACACACACAGAAAGACTACGACAGTCGTACCCGTTCGAGATATATACCCACAGCAGTCGAACGGACGGGTACTCCGTTGCAAATATTGGGGAAATGTTGTACCTGGTAGAACTCCTGGGCGGGTGAGGTCTGAGGGGAGTAAACTGATGTTGAAAATATTGAGGTTTCGTCGGCGGAAGAACCGTTCGTTCCTCCGTGTGGGGCATTCCGTGTAAGATTGCAAGAGACGGCACGGATAGGAGAGCGGCACCGGGGTGGGCAATATATATCGATCGTCTCCTAAAAACCGAAAATTGCTTAATTACTTGAGATTGTATGGATTAATTAAATATGCCAGAGCAGTGGCAAGTGTGAGAGGATTCGTAGAAGAACTGTTCCTCCGTACACGATTTCGCTCATACAGAAGCCGGGCTGCACTGACTGACACCTGGTACCAAGGCTATTCGTTATTTTTTTGCTGTCGAAGTGTGGGCCGTGTGTGTGCTAGGGGACAGACTTCTGTCCGTGAGCTTACCCGCCTTGAGTTCGATTCCCCCGACTTTGGCGATTTTTGCACATGGCCAGAGAGCGTCGACCGCATGGCGCTTGCGTCCGAAGTAATTGATCCTGCCTCCATATGTACTCCCCAAACCCAAAAACAATTAATTAAATCAAACACCCCCATATATATATTCCGACATCCGACACACACGGCGCCGCTCGAACCTCAGAGCAGCAACCAACAAGCAGAGTACCGCAAGCATGGGCCTCACCATCAGCAGCAGGTAAGAGGCAGATCTAGACCTTGGAACGATGAACCCACCTCTGGTTGTTTGGCTCTGATGCAGGGGGGCTCGGACAACAGCGCAGAGCAGTTTTCTCTCTGGCAGCGTTGGGGTGCAAAAAAGAGCAAAAAACGTTGGGTTATACTGACGAAAAAAAAGAAAAAAACCCGGCAAAACGCTTGGCCTCTTGTATCTCCGCACCGCGGTCGGAGAGATCGCATCCGACATATCCGGCCGGTGCGATGTCTCCGATCCCAAATCCAAGATTCATGGCGTGCGTGGCAATTGGGCCCATGACCACTTTTTTTTAGCTCCTGTACTGAGGTACCTTGGCGCATCTTTTAGATGCTATATGTATCCTGTACCGTACGTTCATGCATCTATCTGCTTGCACACCACCACCTGGTACCGATAACTTTTTGCGTTGTTGGTGGTATGGAGTACCTACCGAAGAGTACTGGGTGCGCGTATTCAGCACCGCCATTGCACCGGGAAGGCCTCTGCGTGTATTTATCAGGGCATCACACCGGTCGGAGAGATGGCACCAGGGTGCCTTGAAAAAGCTGGATGAAACGAAATCTTTGTATTATTTCTGCACACCGGTCGGAGTGATGGCACCGGGGTGCGAAAAAAGCCAAGGGCTTGCAGCCCTGCATGCGGACGTTGATCGAGTGCCATTTTCCTCCATTCGTGCCAGGCAGCGCTGGGAGACAATCGTCCCAAGCTACCGGGGGTACCCGTCGCATTCTCGCGGGCGCGGCGCGAGGCGCGCGAGCAAGGCCTCTTTCAACCTCTCGGCGAAGCGATTCGCCTCTCTTTGGCGAGGGGCGCGGACACCGGCGCGGACCTTGCCGACAGGGCTAGAACAGTGGACGCCGGGGGAATGGGGAGTATTCCACGCCCCTTCCCTCGGGGTGTCTCTTCTTCGGGGTGTTTGTCGGCCGTACTCCGCGTACTTATCGGGTATTGTTTGTGTAGTGTATTAACTTCAGACGGTGAGGCAACGCCCGTACCCAGGGCGCTGTCGTGCTCAGAAAGGAGGAGTGGCAGCAGGGCTGCTGCACACAACAAAAGGGGGCCCCGGTGCATCATCACCGTACCCCTACCTAAAAGGTTCTACACCATCTGCGTCACACTTGTACGTACGGCTAACATATCCAAACCATGTCCGTAGACCCACGAACACCCTCCCTGGTTCTCCACGCAAGTGACTAACCATCAGTGGGGCAAAAACACCCCGGATACATCAATAAAATGCCAATACGGTGGTCGAGGGGAAACCCGGCGCCCGGGCAAAACCCGTCGAAAATAAATCCCATCCAACACAAACCATTGCTATCACGGCGGATCACAACGGCCGCACTTATCAGGAAGGCCAAGGCGAAGACAAGAATGCGAGGCAAGCCTCCTACTCCTGCCATTGGGACACAGCCCGCGACAGTAATGCATCTTTCCCCGCATGGTATACATGACCTTCCCCAAGCGCTAGAAAATCCTACAGAAGCTCCGGCAAATTCATCAGCTTTTTCCGGTGGTACTGCAGGTTGCTCTTGCTAAGAGCCTTGGTGAGCATGTCTGCATGTTGCTCCGACGTCGACACAAACTTGATCGAGACGTCACCCGACCTAAACAATCCACGAATGAAGTGGTACCGCACGTCGATGTGCTTGCTACGCGCTGAGCTAAGGGGGTTCTGCACCAAAGCCATGGCCCCCTGATTGTCCTCAAGGACCTGAATGCTACCGCCGCTGGTCTCTGGGGCAATAAACGAAAGCACTGCACGCACAAACAAAGCTTCTTTCACACCCTCTCCGGCAGCAATGTACTCTGCCTCCGTAGACGACAAAGATACGATAGCTTGCGTCTTGCTACCGTGGCTGATGACGGTTCCTCCTAACCGTTGTTGCCAGCCCTGACACCGAACGTCTATCCTCAGCGTCGGCGTAGCTAGCGTCCACGTACACCGCCAGCCCCAGCCCCGATCCCCGTTTATAGGTGATCCCGAGGTCCCTCGTCTCTTTGAGGTAGGCGAGGATCTTCCGTATCGCCTTCCAGTGCCTCTCGGCAGGGGCGTGGGCGTGGCGCGCTACCGCACGCACAGCGAACGAGATGTCCGGGCGCGAGAACGTCGACACCCACATCATGCTGCCGATGGCCTCCCTCACCGGCCACTCCCCTCCACTTTCGTCATCTCGCTTCGGTCAGGTCTACGCCCCTCTGGCGTACCGTCTACGAATGAAAACGTTCCCGTGTCCAAGTGTCCATCGAACTCTTCCCTCATGGCCTGTTCCCACCCCTCTCTGTACACAGACTTGGCAACGCCGGCTACGGTCATGGGGGGGGATTCAACGTCACTCGGACGCTTGCCTATGGGGGATTCTGTACTCAGCTCGGTCGACGCCAGGGCCCTCACGAAGGCGTCTGGAGAGTTGAGCACGAGGTCCTCCGCTCCCAGCAGGAAGTCCTCTGCCTCTTGGCGCGCGATGTTGGCCTCCTCCGCGCGCTCGCACAGCAGCTCCGCTCCCAGCAGGAAGTCCTCTGCCTCTTGGCGCGCGATGTTGGCCTCCTCCGCGCGCTCGCACAGCAGCGCTTGCACCGCCCTCGCCTCTAGCCCTTCCACCACGTCGACCACACACGCGAGCATCCAGTGGGTGTACTCCTCCGTGCTGGTGATGGGCAGGGTGGGCAGCCCGGCCGCCGATGCATGGCGGGCGAGCAGACCTTCGGCACTCGTTGACGACTCGTACCTCGTGTTCCGGCGAGGGTTCTCCCTGAGTCGGCGGCTGGTGAGTTCGGCCGGCTCGCCAAAGCGGGCGAGCCTCCGTTCCTCGGGCCCGCGGAGCGCCGGAATATCCGTGTCGCTGCCGCTGTCGCTGCCGCCACCGCTGCTGCTGCTGCTGCTGCTGCTGCTGCTGCTGCTGCTGCTGCGGCGGTCGTCCTCGCCGCCGCCCACATCGGCCATCCCGGTCGACGTGGTAGATGGGGCGACGCTCGCGCCCTCCCTGCTCGAGGGGGCGCCATCGCCAGCGTCGCCCGCGCCCGACTCCTGGGGCGCGGCCGGCGGCGCCGCCGGCGCATCGCGCGCGGGCGGCTCCGCGGGCCCCGGGTTTGCCGTCGTGTCAAGGTGGAAACCTCCATCCTCAGGTTCTCCCTCCGCCCTCCCTCCACCGTGGCATGACGCACCCCCTCCGCCCTCGTGCTCCCCAGTCGTGAGCTCCTCGTCCTCCTCTGCAATGGGAGGCAGCGGCTGGGGGTGCGCGGTCGGGGCGGCGGGCACAGATTGCCAGGTGAAGTTGCGAGTGGTGATCGCTTGGCGTTTTTCGTTCAGGATGCGTACGCAATCACGGTTTGTGTTGATTCCAGGGCCGAGGTAAAAACACTTTTTTGCTTTCGGCTCTGACTTGTGCGTGCGCTTGACCTTGTATACGGCGGGTTTGAGGAACGGGTACGTCGCCTCTGGGGGAGGTGGGTGCCCGTGCCACATTTCGTACGGCGATTTCTTGTCCGGGTTGGATGTGGTGGAGGTGCAGTTCAGGGCGTTGCATGCCCAAGCTGTGGCTTCGGCCCAAAGGGAGGGGTAGCTTGGTGCTTCGGGGTAAAGAATCGTCGCTTGTATGCGGGCGGCTAGTGCTGCATCCTTTATCAGTCCCAGTGCTCTCTCAGCTACACCGTTGTATTCTGGGCTGTATGCGGGGGTGAACTCCTGCTTGATGCAATACTTGCGGCACAGCTTTCCGAACTCTCCCTCGAAAAACTCTCCTCCGTTGTCAGACCGCACGACCATGACCTCGGATGGGGCTCCGTCTGCCCTGTTTTCCGCTAGGTATCTCTCGAATGCCTCTGCAGCGTCTGACTTGTTTTTCAAGAAGTAGACGCGGTTCCACCTCGTGCAGTCATCCCTTACAATGAGAGTGTACCACTTCCCCCCCAAGCTCTGCACCCTTGCCTTCCCACTCAAATCCACGAACACTCTCTGCAGTTTCTTAACTGCTCGGGTTGACGTCCTGTTGGGGATGGGCTTGGATGGCCCCTTTGCCGTCGAGCACCCCATGCACTCCCGGAGCTGGCCCACCAGAGTCACCCCTTGCTGCTTCGCCGTGTTCTTCAGCAGCACCTCGTGGGAGTGGCCGTGCGCGCAGTGGAAGTCGTTGATGTCAACGGGGGTGCGGTTCGCTTTCGCGTTACCAGGAGCAATTATGGCACAGGCTAGTTCCCTACCCGACTCTATGCGGTGACCAGTCTGAACGAACAGGTCCCCCCATAGAGGGAAGTACACCGACTCCCCCCCACCAACGAACACCTCCAACTCACGCTCGTCTGCGGCTAAGCGGCCCTTGGTTTGCTTCAAAAGGGCTGTGAGGGACACGAGGTTGTAATTCAGCTCCGGCACATGAGCGACCCGTTTCAACAGCAGGTCTGTGGTCCCAACGCGAGAACCGATGGACACCCTCACGTCGCCGTAGCCTACTATGGCGAAGGCTTGCTTCCCTGCGGCGACACTCAAACGTCGATCGCACTCATGGTAGTTTTCGAACGCGTTAGCGCTCGGGAACATGTGGTTGGTTGCGCCGGTATCGGCCACAAACCTTTCCTGCCTGGCCTGCTCTACACCCCCTCGATCAACGACTCTGTTCCACTCGCCTGTGAAGTCACGGACCACTAGCGCCTCCTCTGCCACGTCCAGTGCGGTGGCGTCCAAGACCGGCAGCTCCACCGCGAGCACTGCCTGCTCGGACGAGCACTTGCTCTTGTCGTGTCCGTAGCCCAGGCATTTCTCGCATCGCAGGGGCTCCGGCTTGGTACAGGCGGCCGCCTGGTGACCCTTCTCTCCGCACCGGAAGCAGCGGCCGTGCATGCTACCTGCACCGCCGCCGCCTCCGCCGCTGTTGCCACCACCACCGCCCTTGCGACCACCCCCTTTCCCCTTCTGGCTGCCACCGCCGCCGCCGCCCTTGCTGTGGCCGCCGCTGTTGCGGCCCGGGCGCTCCGCCCCTGTTGCCACCGTCGCTCGCGAGGAAAGCATGCTCCGCCTTCCGCTGGCCCTTCGTGGCCCTCCTCCCCTCCGGGAGGCTCGCGTGCACGGTACTGACTACCCTGATTATCTCGCCCCGGTCCAGGTTTGTAGCCGTCTCCAACAAGAATTTGGCTTGTTGGTACTCGGGTGGAAGGGCATCGACAAAGTGTGCGAGAACAAAGGGTGTGTCAGCGTTGAGCCCTTTTTCCCGCAGTCGTGAGTACAGCAGCTCGAGCGTGTATAGATGCTCGACAGGGTTGCTGTTGCTGTGTGCGGGGATCGTGAATCGAAACATCTTCTTCATGAGGGCTTGTTTCGAGCCCTGCGACTCCGGGTTGTGTACTTTGTCGAGCTCCGCAAGGATCTCCTTTGCGGTCTCGCATTTATTCACGATTGCCTTGTCGGCTTCTCGGACGATGGCTGTAGTCACAAAGTGGAACGCCTGGAGGCCCCTCTGAACCTCATCACTTGTGTAGCCCAAGCTATACAGCTCCGAGCTAGGCCTGTTTGGGTCACCGACGGGTGCGTGCTTCTCGGCGTTGCCGATAAGCTGCCCGTCCAAGCCTACGGTTTTTGCGGCTTGAATAAGGGCCTTCCTCCACGAGTCGTACCCGTGGCCGCGACTCTCCCCTTCGAGACGCGGTGCATTGACCGTAACACGTTTTTGGCTACTACTGCTGTACCCATCAAAAAATGCTCCGGCCCCTCGAATCGCGGTTTGCTCACCTTGGGGGTTTAACCCCCTCGCTTCCCCGCGGTCCGGTCCTACGCCCGGGCTCATTCCGGCTGGCCCCACAGGATTCGCTCCCGATCTACCTGCCCAGCCAGTCGTCACTCTCGCTGGAACCCCAGGACTCGCTCCCGGTATGTTGTCCCAGCTGCTTTCCCGCGGGTGATTTCGCCCATCACGGGCCGTTTCCTGGGAAAACGCCCCGCCGCCCCCAGGCGGCAGAGCCTCTCTCTGGCTTGGGACGGCAGCACCGCCGCCCCTACTGGCATCGCCCGCCACGGCGTCACCAGGCTCCTTCCTCTTCAACTCCATCACTACGCTCATCAGCTGCGATAACTGGCCCTCCAGCCGCGCAATCGCCGGATCCTCGGCGTGTTGCTGTTGCGTGGCTGAGGTCTCTACCCCCAGCCCTGCGACGGAACCGCTGTCCGACGCAGACATGACCCGATGCGGCTATCCCTCGAGGGACAATCAACTCTAGAGTGTTTGTCGGCCGTACTCCGCGTACTTATCGGGTATTGTTTGTGTAGTGTATTAACTTCAGACGGTGAGGCAACGCCCGTACCCAGGGCGCTGTCGTGCTCAGAAAGGAGGAGTGGCAGCAGGGCTGCTGCACACAACAAAAGGGGGCCCCGGTGCATCATCACCGTACCCCTACCTAAAAGGTTCTACACCATCTGCGTCACACTTGTACGTACGGCTAACATATCCAAACCATGTCCGTAGACCCACGAACACGGGGAGCGTCGTCTCGGCCGAGCCTCGGCCGGCGGCCCCCACGGGGGACCGCAAGCCCGATGCGCGGCGACGGAGGACACCGGACGTGCAGGGGGCTGGGCGATCTGGTGCCTTTCACGTCTGCCCAAGCGGATTCGGCTGCCTCCGCCTCTCGCGAAAATTTGCCCGGAACTACTCCCAGGAACCAGGATGCGCCCGCGGACCGGGTTCGTCACGAGTACACGGTCAGAAAAGGTGCCCACCATTGTTTGACGCTTACGTGTCTCGTCGGCTTGCTCCACCTTTTACATGATATTGGTGTGGCTTTTTCCCCCTCCGCTGGGGATTCTATGTTGGCCTCTTCGAATGCTGCATCTACAGTACATGCATCGCACACGGCACCCCGCAAGGTGGGGGGAACCACCGGTGGGGGGGAACCACCGCACACGAACCCTCGTGCCTCTTCCGCCGTTCGTGAGTCCCATGAGCAGACTCGCGTTTGCATCTCACGTCCTTCTCCCCGAAACCAAATCGTCACGTCCTGTCCCGAATGTTCTCATGGTTCCCTTTGGACGTCGAGGCGACTACCCAAGGAGATTGGTTCTTGGCTGAGCTGTGCCCCGCCTTTCGCTTCCCCTTCTACACCCAGTGCCGAGGACCGGTCATTGACGACGCAGATACCTGCGGCCTATGCCGCCGCAGACGTGGTGCTTATGCACAGGCGCGGAACTCCATGTTTGCATGCGGTCGCGTGTTCCATTCCTCTTACGTGCGGGCAATGGCGAGAAAATCGAGATACCGGGTGACAAAATCCATTGCTGTTTGAGGCGTATGTTCGGGCGAACGGGGGCGGACTGGCGGTTGCTCATCTTCGGCGAGAAAGAACGGCCAATGGTATCCCCATTTCGTGCGGGGGCTCGCCTGAGATGCTTGGGTTCGACACTCCCGCTTTTTGCCGGAGGACCGAAGGGACCTCTGGGGGGACAACATGCGTTCGCAATTGGTCCATCTCTGCCAACCAAGCGGCCGTTTCCGCAGGATTCACGTTTCCCGCCCTGCCCTTGCCCACGTGCGCGCGTGGAGGAAAGCCACGATGCCGTCCGTTTGAGCCTCAACAAGCTCTTCAACCTGGTTCGTAACCGCGACCCCCGCTTCATTCCGTCACGGCCGAAGTTCTTCAAGCTCCACGTGCTTCGACACGACCTTCGTGACTTCTCGTGGCTATGGAGCACCCTGCTTGCGGACGTCAGGCGAAACATCTTCCTCCCGTACCTCTTGAGATTGCCAGGTGAGACGATTGCGTATGCGCTTAGTCGCACGCGCGCATTCCTGTCGTGAGGCGTTGGCTGTGTCCCGACCGAGGTCTAGCTTAACCTCGTCGCTCGCCGGCCCGTCTCCGCCGATCACCTGGTCGCCTGGATGGCGGGGGCGAGTGCCGTCTCTAACGAGCCATTCCTCCCCAAACACACACCCTCCCCCGGCTGATGCCGCGGAGGACGACGCAGGGGTCGAGGCTAGCCTAGAGGGCGACAGAGGCGGAAGGGCGAGAGTTGGCTCGCGTGACGAGTGCCCGCGTTAGCCACCGCTGGCGTTGAGGGGCCTCCACCACGGAGTGCGGGCGTCGAAACCAACAAACAAGTGAGTTTCAGCTGTGTGTGGGGGCCTGAGATGGCGTTGGAAATCGGAGGCGCTCATTTATTCTGGGTCTGTTGTTGCTTTTCGGTCGCGTTCTATTGGGTGCTTCCATGCGAGTTCCCCCTTAGTGTTCGTGTCGTTCCGCGGAGCTCTTCGAGCCTTTCGTTGCTCTGCGTTTTTTAATGGGGTCGGTTCATTCGCATCCTTTCGTGCACCATTCTCACGAAACGTATGGTTCCTTGTCCTTATTGCGTGTACGCGAGAACGAGGCGTTGTAACGAGTATACCATGCGCTAACACTGACGAAGAACGTGGCGCCGCAAGGCTCGTTTCTTGGTCTACCTTGCCTCTGGTACCAGAGCAGCGATTTGGTGTTGTTAATTTCTCACGCTCTGAAGCGAGTGGTGGTGCATATCTGTTCATACCGTGGGCGGGATGAGTAGGTTTCGTTTGATGCTTCTGCGTAGTTGGGATTACCCCAATGCTTCCTCTCGGCTATCTGTGGACTAACCACGGCGCAATTACGCGGGTTCGGGGATCGGTGCGCCCTTACTCTCGCGCAAACAATTTCGATACCGCTCACAATTGTCACACTGACAGGGCTCCCTCACGGATAACTCGGTCTTCAAGTCCCTCGATGGAGCACACTGTGGTCGGCCCAAACCTGTCGGCCTCTCGCCCCTAGACACACCTCAACGGGACCTTAGCTGGGTATTCTGCACGGCTCACGACAAGGTTCCCTCTCAATCCCGGGAACACGCGAAAAACATGGAACACGACTCTCGGAGCGTGCTTGTGGCACCTAGAGACATTCCGGGAAAAAAGTCTCGCTGCGGCGCAGACTGGGCCTCATTCTTCGATGCCTCATTTCAGGGCGTGCACTAACCCTCTACAGATGTAGACAATAAAAAGGACCAGGTAGCACGGGACTCGGGATTCACTTCTCCATGTTGTGTCCTATTCACCGGGCTAGTCTGTTTGCACACAGGCCAGCGCACATCTTTGAGGCTACCCGAAGCAGTAGCAGACATCTGCTCGCTCAGAAACAATCACACACTTCGTGCTGTGGAAACCAGGATGTAGGTATCGGTAATCTCCGTGCATGCACGATCTCGGACGTACGACATAGGAAACCTCACCACAAACCACAGATGGCACCGGGCAACCTTTGCCACGCCCACATTCGCCAACGTTCTATTGTACAGCATTGTACAGCAGTGAACAAGCGGCACCGGCTGGTCGCTCGTTGTCGAATCCCCCGAAGAAAGTGTTTTTTGAATGTGAAGGCAACGCCATCAGGAGAAATTAAATATTCCACCCTTCTGACCTGCCACACATGTGACCGACGGATCATTCAGAAGCCGCAGCCGGATCATTAGCCTGAAGAGGTTCGCCCGTCATGAGCCGTTGTGTGGCGTGCCTTGCTTCGGTGGTGCTTTCGCAGTGCCAAAGATAGCGTTATGCTGGGAACGCCGCCAACACATATTGGTTGTACGCCGCAGCCCCCAAACTCTTTATGGAATGTAGAGCGTCGAAGGAGAATGTACTCCTGCAGACCGAAAGGAGCACTATGCTGCAGACAGGGAATCAGAACAAAGGTTCGATCCTTACATACCTTCCTGAAAAACGTCGACAAAGCACAAGCGACGTGGGGCACGAAAGCGAAAAAAATGAACTACTGTACGTAGGATTCAATGCCCAAATTCGAAAGCTGAGACGACACAAGGCACTTGTTTGTCATTCAATCATTGACCAACAGTTCGCTCGAAGTTTCAGTCTACCCTATTCGGCCTTGCCTCCCGAACTCGAGTGGTCCGACCCCAAAAACCCCAACAAGGTAACTAAGAATAGGGATGTACATGCCTTCATTTTACAATGAGAAGCGTTGGCCGTCCTTCCCGCGAGCATTCATTTCAACAAGCGCTTCCCACCTAGACTACTCAGTATTGCACGGAACGCTCAATAAGCACATCTCAAACAAATAATGAACAGCAGTCCATCCCAACACCAAACAACAACAGGATGGAGGCAACCAGGATTCACAATAAAGAGGACAACAAGACACCTGCACACCGCAAATTACCAGCTGGACGATGGTGCGTTAAACACGTCGTCAGGCACACGAGGAGGTGCAAACGGTCTTGGGTCTGCCATTCCCAAGGGTTGGGGTGTGAGTGAAGAGGAGCAAAAAAACGTTTCTCACACCGTCCAAGCAAATCTAGCCCGTGTAACACGCTCAGCACGACGCGAACGACACGGGGCCCCCTCACAAACGGAAACGAAGAAAAGAGTACAGTTGAAGAGCCCAAAGGGGGCATGTCACACTACACAACAAATAGGAACTAAACTCTCATTGAACAACCCGCAAAAGCATTTTGATCTAACGAGTCCTCGTTCATCATCAGGCGAAACCCCCTGGGAATATTAAGAATTACAGAATTATGTCTGTTCACTCGTCAGCAGGTTATTTGTCCTGGAAAAAGATTGGACGGCCGGCCGATGCGAAATGAAGAACACGCACGCATTTACAACTGTATCGAAGGACTCCGCATACTAGAACCCGTTGGGCGTTGGCCTAGTTTTTGGCCAGCTGCGTAGCGCGGTCATTCCTACTCAAGGAAATACAAACCACATATATGAGCACGCACTAAGCCCTAAGCAATACGAGCTGAAAAGAGAGGTGGGTGACCTACATCAAACACTTAGAAACCACTCCATATTGATTTTCCTCTCTGCAGGGAGGCCAACATCGCCGTGAAGGAGGGCGATGAGTTGCCTTCAAGGGTCCGGAGATGACCTCGTCCCCCAGGCAACAAATTGTCTGCCAATCGGCTGAAGGTTTCAGAGAGCCGTCCCTGTGCATCGGCGAAAATCTGAGGCGTTCCGTCCAGGTGTGCAGATACGCGACCTCTGCGATAAGAGGTCCAAAAGGAAAGCCTCCCTTCGTCAATACCCCCAGGAAATCGTTGGGTTCACAAAGGCAACAAAGCCGGGCCGTGGTGGGCCGTAGAAATTACGGCTGTTCTTGATGCAAGTCTGTTGCTTCAGGGAGTTCCAGGGCATCGTCTGCCTGGCGTTTCGCCTCAAGGAGATCCCTGCGACACATTTCGATCAATCAAGACAGCAACGGTTTCGGGGCATCCATTGAAAACTTAGCGGTAGGCGGGGATTGGACCGCAAGCGTGGGGAGGCCAGATTACACTCAGTGATGGGTTCAGCCGAAGCAAGATTCGACAGATACCCAAACAGGTGACTATGAACTGAGAGGGGCAGTTTCAACGATATTCGGCCTGTACCAACTCTCGCTTGCCCACTGGCTCCTATGTGCGTGACTCATGTTGAAGTCACCAATTTGGAATACGTTTTTGTCTACAAATGATTCCGACGACAACTGTTTGTTGATGTGCCTTTGGCGCTGCAGCAAATCCCAACTAAGTCGTTTCGAGAAACTCGGAATCCACAACATACACCACCTATGGTCATGCCATGCGCATGTTTTTGTTCCCCAGAGACATCGTTCGCGATATGCCCAACCCGATTTTCAGTCACTACTGTTCAGCGCGGGGTATCGTGAGATGCTGAATAGTCCCGGATTCTAATGCGACAGACAAAAAGCTGCCACAGAACTACCCAAACACCAATGGCAGCTTCACGCAGGTTTTCCGCTTACCTTACGAGGTCGATTATTTCATCGATGTCCGGCTCGTACCATGTATGGCATTCTTGTGACCATTCGCCCCCGGGATGTCTAGCGTAGATGTGGTGAAGCTTTTGATCGGTCATGGTTGGTTGCAGAAACGTTGTTCGGTCGGTGTGGCATAGAAAAGACGGTCCGGACATTGGTGGTGAGTCGATACCATTGCAAGCAACTATAGGAGTGATTCAATGCGTCCTTGTCGGCAATAGGGGCATCTATTGCGAACACATACGCAGTTTCATTCCCGAAGAAAGCCGTCCAAGCAACATAAGACGTTTCGGATAGGGTAGGAGCTCTCTGCACGTCCAGAAATTTTCATAAACGCACGGATGCCCTGCCTTCCGGCGCACTCAACACCGGCAGCAACTATATTTTCAGAAAGTAGTATTCGTGCAGCACGCTCTGCATCAGCGAAGGGATTCGTAATCCCAACACGTAACCCATTCCTGTACTCAAATACAGTCCTTTAGTACTCACCATATCCCTAAGGTTAGTGCGTACCTTCAAGGCGAGTCTCAAGAAGCAGGATGGGCACGATAACGGGGCGATTTCCAGCACCGGGGTGTGCAGGGGCGCGACGATAATGTTAGCAAGCCCGGCCCCGTGGGGAGCTATGACCATGGACGCGTTTGCGAAGGTCAGGAGCTGGTCTTGGACGGGATCGGTGCCGAAGAACTCCACCACGTCGAAGCTCGGAAAGTTGATCTCCAGGGCCTCTTTCACCTAGATCAGCGTTGTATCGTTGTTGGTGTTGTATCGCTCTCGAACAGCAAATGACGCTCACAGGATGAGCGTAATGGACACGACATGACATGATGAGCCAGGTTCAACGCGTAAGACGACCGAGAGGAAACAAAAAGAAACACGACCATTTGGCCGATTGCTGGTTCCGAAATACTCCAACAAAACAAACGACGGGCGCTACTCTGGGTACCTCGACTACGGGCTGTCCCAATCCACCTTGCATGCTTTATTGCATTCGTGAGCCGATGCTACTCACTGTCCTTCTGCATTGCACTGTCGGATGGTCAACCAAAAAACACGCGCAGGAAAGCTAAAACGATGTTGCGCATCCAAGAACCTGGTCCATCATGCGGCGCATTCATCCTTCGAGACCACCAGAGGTTTCCAAAGACTTCGCTCGCGCACCTTCTTCGAGTGAGCTAACCACGTAAGCGGATCTCTATAAACTTGCTGTTATTTCCCCAGCGTTCTTTCGCTGTCTACAAAGACCGACATTTCGATGTGGCGTACTAAACGCACACGATACCCAGCACCGTTGTGAAAGGGATCAGCTATCACGGATGGTGGACCTCCGTCGGCTACCCGAAAGAAATGCAACGACAGTCAGACCGTTGTTAAGAACAAACGTTTCACGGGTACGTTGCGCGTACACATACCTCGTCGTTGTTCTTTAGGCCCCGCAATGTGGTGCGCACAACGAGCACAATCACCGGGCGGGCTTGCGCAGGAGGAACGCCGTTCGTGGTCGGGAAAAGACTCTGCGAGGACAGCGAGCAGGGCAGTCCGTGGGACTTATGAGCTTCATTGTCAGGAGACCATGTCAACCCCTTCTAAGATTGGGCGACAACACATGCATCGACACGTTTGAGGGAAAACAAGACACAAAAACAGCCACACATGAAAACAAATCAGCGAGGGAAATTCCCGCCAAAAACACGACGAGCAAGATGCACCTGCCCCCATCCGTCCCCAACACAACGATATTTTGCCATCCGCCCACCTGAAGGAATCTGTTCCTGAGCATGTTGACCATGTGAGCATCCGGGTCGCCGCAAATAGTACTAGTCGGCACAATCGCTAGTTCTGCGTGCATCTGGGATGAGACGGGAAACGACAAGTATTGCGGATTTACCGTTGCAGAGAGCGGCTATACGACGGGTAGCTGACTGTGCACGAGTAAGCGTCAATCAGTCGAGCTTACCGGCGGACGGGTGGAAAACACTCAGTGCCAGCGCACGCGCGGGGTGTGCGTGCTTCGTTGACATGTACGCATCCTACTCGGCCCTGCCCTAACTAACTGCGCTAACCAGTTGGAAATACGAAAATGCGCCAGTCTCACCGCGAGAACAACAAATAAAACATTCTTCAAAGTCTGCGTGAGTCTCCCGCTACGGAGGGGGGTAGGAGAATCTGCGTGCAAGGGTACAGGCTCCGGATTCAAGAGTCAGAAGCACATGTGCACGAGCTGAAACGAACACCTATTCCTGCGGTACCTCCCTAGTCCCGATGGCGGTAAAGTTTGCGCCTGTGGTCGCGGTAAAAATTCATCCACAAAATTTAACTTCAACAAGCAGATTGACGAGCGCAGATTATTTCTCTGCCCTATTGCTGCAAGTCTTGACAAGAGCAACGCTCATCCGGTTCATGACATGGTCACCATGCACTGTGAAAGTGTCGGGGGGAAAACACGGCTCGATAGAGCAATCATCTACCGGGGTCCCGACCTCGGCGTTTCCCCCCCAACCTTTGGCACGGCAGCCACTACGCAACGCTCATGTCGCCCAGCTCGCGGTTTTACTCATGGCACATGCCTGATGCATTGGCTACGGTGCACGGTCTTGCCAGTGATGTGTGAAACTGTCTGACGACATGCCAAGCCTCCTACTTGCAACGCGATGTGATACCAGGAGTTTTTCGTTGGCTGGGGCGTCTGCATGTCGGCAGTCCAGTGAACATAAGTCCTGCAGTAAACACGACAGCAGCAAGACTCATTACCGAGAATGCCTACCCACCTGTTTCATGGCTAAGACGACGCGGTCTCTGCTGATTCCCAGAATCTCAAACATTTCCATATGAGTTTCAATCTCATTGGAAAAGCCTCCCTGATGGAGTTTGTCGTGCTGGGAGTAATGCATTGCGATCTGCACACAGTTGTTCAAAAGACACGCGGGGCACGTCAGCATCAGCACGACGTCAATTTTGTGTCCCATTGGTACAACCTTATCGTTTAGACATCCGAAATCGACAATGTGTTCGGACAACCTGAACGGCACGGTGAGAGACATCTGCCATACGTGGCGAGTGATGCCATGGACCAACGCTAGCCGTTCGTCCGGGTCTTGCCGAACTGTGGGCCTGAGCGTGTTAGGAAATGGACATACATATGCCCGCTTACTGCTGCAATAAATAGTTGCAGCATCGCCTGGACTCGAAGAGCGAGATCTCCCAAGGGAAGGGAATGCGTGTAGAAGTACAGGCACGGATTGGGACCGCAACTGAACCGTCAGTGACAAGACACTAGAACCAGAGCGGTGTACCGCTCCTCAGGTAGATGTGGAACGTAGACGGGAGGGGGGAAGCAAAAAGCTTTTTCGAAATGACAAGGTTTCCTAAAAGTTAAAGCGCATCTCGATCGCTGACGGAGGATTGGATTCCAAACGTAGGGTCTTGATTTTCTTTATTCTTTTTTTTGTTGTCAGTGCCGGTTTGTTGTCAGTGCCGGTTTCATGACCATATCCTAGATTGCTCATCGAGGCACGCGTCAAGTAATGACAAAAACGCCCGACCCAGCGCCTTGGGTTTCTCGCGGGCAGCGTGTGTGTTGTGTTGCAACGTGTGGAAAACATGCGCAGAGAATCTGTAGAGACGTGCGGTAATAAGTCCGTGTTTTCAGTGAAGCTGTCCAAAGGTGCTCTGGACGGGTCGAAATTGTTGGGGAACTCTTAGTCGAATGGCGATTGGACCAGTTTTCACAGCCTACGACCAGCCGAGAACGCATAGCTCATCTGTTGTGTATCCATGTGCTGTTTATTCGCCATGTTGCCAGCAACCTTGAACATATATGGGATGCAAAAACAAAAAAACACGGGAAGGCATGTCGCAGCACTCACCATGATGTCTGGGTTTTCGAGAAGGACATCCAACATTAAAGTGATCCGCGGCAGATGTTCCACCGTAAAGTGGTAGTAGTTCGGGTTCCACTCTTGGGTCATCACGAACACCTAAGGCAGCCACAGGCGATGAGTGTTGTAAATAACGGGTACCGTCGTCGGACAGCGACAGGCGAGAGGGAAACGCTGATCGGGTCGATGGACGCGTGTAAGTAGGAGATGACAACGATCACACACCGTAAGTTCGACGATCACAGGGAAGACAACCGGGAGGGAGGCTCGCACGATGAACGGCTGATTCGTGGGCGACCGGCTCCAAGCTATGAACCGTAATCGGCTACAACCCCTGTCGATGCAACGTGTACCGTTAGATGTGGCCTTATTCCCACATCGATACGGTAGCTTGGTCGTGCTAAACCCAACGCGGAGGAAGCGGTAGGCCGCCTGTACGTCTTGATACCGTGTTCTTCAACTCTGGCTTCTCCCAACGCTACTCTTCCACATCATGTGCAGCTATCGATGGCCGTAGGCCGGGCACAGAATCAAGTAGGTTCGACACGAAATTTGTTTACTCTTTTGACCTCACAACTACTGGTACATACCAAAACAACGACTTGACGTCCCCCTGCACATTCCAATCATACAATCGTGCTCGCCGCCACTGTACTACGTCGCGGTATTCACCATGGTGTACGACGAAATCATTAAGCTAACCTGCTGACCTGCTGAGCAAACTCGTACGCATACATCAAGAATAATAACCCGCCCACTTCAATCGATACCCCCCCTCCCCCCGGTACTTGCCATCGGGATTGGCTTTTCGTGGCTTGGCAACGACGTTGCAAGCCGATCAGTTCGTGAACCAGGTTACCCCTTTTGTTTTCGCCTTTGTTACTTTTCGATAACCAAATAGTGGTCGAGTAGATTATGTTGTGCGGGGTCGAGAACCCATACTCCTCGCAAAGGGGATGATCGCATCATGTTGTGTCAAATTGGTCAAGCACCCTCGAGGCAGTTACAAAGTGCTAATAACTGTCTCTGAAGTGAAAGCACCACAAAATAAATCACGTAGTTTGCAGCTGTCACCCGTACGCAAGGAAGTAAGCACAAGATGCCGCACCCTTAGCAGGATGCAGCGCACCCTTCATGAGACTCGCCGAATACGTCACGGCGCTTCGCGCTTGGTCATGTGAGAGCTTGGTCCGGTGAGAACCCGGCGTGCTCCGTCCCGGCTTTGTAGGGATGCGAGGCCAATGGTCTAACGACTACGGCATGCACGACTATGAGTACCCCCCCCCCCCCCCCCCACATGATACAATCGTTCTCCTCACTGTGGCCGATCAACACTACCGTGCACATTTATTTTTCGACACCTTTTCGTAGCTTTCGTCCTCGGCCTGCAAGCCCTCTCTGGCTTGTTCTCGAGCATCATCGGCCTCGTGGCGTCTTGGAATATCGCAGTTAACCGGCAGAATAAAATCCTGCATAGGTATGCCATCCCGCCCCGCGAGTAAAATAAAGCAAAGGAAAGAAAAGGTGTAATTGTCGTCTGAAAAGTGTTGCACATTGGTTGGAGTTGGTTGCGTCAAACGGCAACCGGTGTATCGTTCAACACGCGGCTGCTCAAAGGTTAATACTAAAAAACAAATGTCACTGTTGTTGTTGTTGTTGATGTTGTTTCTCCCGGCACACCCCGCGCTTGACTGCGAAGCTCCAGACCACCATTGAGTGAGAAAACTCCATAAACAAAACAAGGAACACAGCTTGCTACCCACCCCCACCAATATGTCTAATACAACCAACATCACTCCAGTGTCTGTATACTGAAAACACACAATCGTCTCGTCTACAACACAGAGGAAAAAACTATCCTTCCCTCACATGACCTCAACAAGAAACGAGCTCGACAGCAGGACTCGGTAGGAATACGTCACAACACAACTCGCCGTGATGATAACTCTCAACCTAGCCCCTAGACAACCAGGGCACCCCGTAAAAATCAATCGCAGCAAGGAGTAAGCTCACCCATTTTCCTCATCTAGCACAATGGTACCAAGGTGCTCTTTCTCACATTCTCGTTCCATACGGCCCCTTTGCAGCTAATGTACACGTCTGCCATGCTGACCAACGTAGGGATCCTCACGCAATCGCTGATGTCTTGCCTTGGGTCCTCTCCTGAACAGTATGGCGTCAATAACCTTGCTCGGGTGTTGCAATTACCCACGAAAAAAGTCAAGAGGCGGATAAAAATGGCGCGACAAGTGAGCAAAAGAGTCACGTCGTGCGTCACGGGGTTCTCGGGGAACGGAAGTAAACAGATGCAACAATCCAGGATCCAGCAGACGTCACTCAACTCCTACTGAGTTCAAGACATGACCTCTCACAACGATCTCGAACAGGTTCTGAGTCTTTCTGTTATACTATGTCTACGGCCAAGACAAGCAGGACAAACACGCGCAAAGGTTGCCTTCAAGCAGCAGTGAGTCAATAGGCTTGATTGTGAATGCGCCAAACGTGAGAAAATCATAACCATACGAATCACAACAATACACTTTTCGTTTGGATGGTACCAAGCAGACAGGGCGGCAAGCGCTCCTTCCGCATAGCCCCTGGTTCACAACAAAAATGACGAAGTATGACCAACATCCGCGACCCGATCCAGAAATCAAGAAAAACACAAGATACTAATTCTACACTACGCGCGCCAGCAGTAACTCACTCTGCGGCGGCAGGGTTGCCCTCGCGTACGGCACCAAAGAAATCAGTGGCGACAAGTAGCTCGGCGAACGCCGGCTCCACGTGCTGGGTCGTGGATGTCAAGTTGAAGCCGTCGGCCTCGACTATTCGCCTGTTCCATCACGTTATGAAGAAACCACGAGCAACGGGATGCGCGAGTTGTTACAAGGAGGTAGCGATCTTGAACAGAAGAAGAGAGCACGGCTGTGCTGAGACACCATGGAATTCGTTACTACAACAACGCAAACGGTAACAGCCAACATGCTCCAGCGGAGTACGAACGCTGAGCAGGGCTGTGCGCGAGGAAAAGCAACACTTGGAGTTTGTGCCGACTTGACGAGCAAATTGAAGCAACAAAGACTGACTGACAAGTGCTGACTTGTGTGAAGGAAACGAACCCACCACGCTCTTTCCACGAGAGGCACTCTCATGCCGGATACAAAGAGTGGCGGATTCTTGCCCTGCACTGCCGTGCCGCCCGGCCAAACGCAAGAGCGTTTTAAAACTCGCGCGTACCTCAGGCAACTTGCAAAAACTTATTATGCGTACGAGCCGCGACCTGAATAATCCGAAAGACGTGCAGATTCTCTCCCCACATTGGTGGATATGCTATTTGCACCCGCACCTCATACAAAGGTGTGTGGAATGCGCATCCACATCCTCGACCATGTTCCTTGTTCATCCCATCCCATCCCACACTAATCGTTTCGCTCGCAGCAATTACCTCACGTACGGCCGTGGCTCTCAAACGGAAGAGATCCGGTCCGAGGTCACACAGAAAAACCACTCTGCGGCGCATACTATCATGTTACAAGAGGAGGGTTTAGCCATGTTTGCTCAAGTGCGCTCACGAACAGGTGGCCACGGAAAGGAGAAAACACACACACCTAAGCAGCGAGCTTTGCGAGATGGGGAAGTAGGACTGGAGCGTCTTGACGAAGTCCACGTCCTGGGCAGGCGCCACCGATCCGGGGGCCTGCGCCAGATCGGGCCTGCGGACCACCACGGCTCCCTGGACGTGCGACATCTCCTCTCCGAGGTCACCCTCCCGATACGTGTGCGTGTGGACCCCCTGCAGAAAAGATAGCAGAGACACACACAACACAGAGAGAGAGAGCAAGGGCGGAGGTGATTCATTGGCGTATGCTTACGAGTAGACACAGGCCGGAGCTTTAGCAAAGTGGGAGTTATAGCACAGCGGTATGACCAAAAACGAAATGGAACAGACACGAGTGAGCAGCCGACACCGATACAAAAAACCAAAATGAACGTACGGGTAACGGGACGGCAGTAGTAAGTAGGCCCGACACTCACAAGACAGCACGGCGGGCTCGGGCATCGCAGTCGCGACGATTCATCTAGGGCCTGCTGCAGCCTAGACCACACGGAAAAAGCCCCGACAATCACAGTCGGCGGCTCGGCGGCGTAATTTCCGTCATCGCTCAGTACCGCAGAGTTGGGGTAATGGGCGGCAACCGGACACGAACCGTCGGCGGGAGCGTGGTAGACCTGTGGCGCGGAACTGTTCTCATCTTCTAGGATATCTGTTGCAAAGGAGACGTCTGGATCCTCTTCTGTTGTTCCTTCCAGTTTTCGGTGCTGTTGTCCCGACCCCTGCTGGTTCCGTGACGGTATTGGCGCAATACGCTTCTGCTCAGCCCGCAACTGCTGCTGGTGAAGTTGGTGGCTTCCTCGCGAAGATGGGTGCCCTTCGCGTCGAAGTCGGCGAGGCAAACCTCGCCCTGATGTTGTCATTGCCGTTGCTGCTATTGCTTCATCCTCTCTTCCGCCGCTCGGTTCAATGATGGGGGATTTCTCGTCTAGGGCTGCTGGCATTGCCAAGGAGTTCTGAAGAAGCACCACCGTCAGGAACAGGCCCTGCGCCGCGCGTTTGGGCGAAACATCAACGATGAACGCATAAACGAGTAAAAGGAAAAGGTAAATCGTTCCGGCGTCTTAGAGTCTTGCTTGGGCAGTGAACAATCGCCAATGCACGCTGTAGCACTACTTTTCGATACTTCTTCCACGGTTGGCGTCACGAGCCAAACCTGCTAAATACCGGTATTCCTGAGACTGTTGCGGTGTTGTCGGAATTGCGGGTGCATTTCAACTAGATCAAAGACCAAAAAGATGCGTGGTTCTACATTTCAACAAAATTTACCTTTTGGTTCGCCCTATCAAGTCGCTCACTATCCTAGTGGTATCGATCTGACCTTAACAGCAAAAACCAGGGATCATATTGCAACTCTTCCTCCGCGGTTTCAACATACTCGTGACGTTCGAGCGTCAGGGTAAGCCCCGGGGCGTCGAGAATATGAATGTACGCATGATTGATGAACATGATGCCTACCTGCGCCGATCGTGACACCCATTTCTTAATCGTGGAGCCCGTTCGCCCTGTCTCCTCCATTCGTCCCCTTGCGTGCGCCGCGGGACAGGAGGATTTCGTGTCGGTCGGAGGGATGCCGTCGCAAGAGTGCACAGTGGCAGGCGGACTGAGGAAACAACGACACAAATACTACATATCAGGAGGTAGACGACCGGGGACCGGGGAAAGGGTGGGAATGTGTAGGGTCTACGAGACCCGACTCCCTCGTTTTGGTTTGACAGAATCATACGAATGTCCCACTGCGGGTACAAAAAGCAAGTTTCATTGGCCTCGAGGAGCGGGGGCGTTGCACCACCTCGCTATGCACGAATACATTCCAGTTGGCCTGGTACCCTTCCTTCGGAATTGGGTATCGCACCCTTTCTTTGAAGCGCGGTAGGGGAGTTGTCCACCAGACACGGGTGATGCATGGCCAGAGGGGCGCATACCCTCGCGTCACAACGCGCAAATGCCATCGCCACACCCGCCTTCCGGCCGTCTCCTCAGGATAACCCCAAAGTTTCAAAATTTCCACAGAGAGACAGCTTGATATATTCATAAGCAGAACCGGTGCAGGTGTTGTTCCGGTTCGCATTTCACCAGTCTCACGCAATATCAAAACGATAATAAAAGTTCAATACACCTGATCTGTCGAAAGCAAAGTTCTGGTTGAATCTCTCCGGTGAGGCCCAGTATTGATGGGGTACAACCCCCCCCCCGGAAGTATATATCTTTTGGCCGGCCGGGATCCGGATATTTTTCGGGGCTAACGACACAAAACGACATATAGGGAAATTGACTCGGGAAGTGATCCCGAGGCCCCACCCTGACTAGCCAAGACCGCCGAACAACATCATTTTCTGGTGGCTCATGCGGAGAATACCGCGACCGGGTTTCTAGAGTCGTCTCTCAGAATTTGTGTCGCACCGCTCACCGTTTACTGTCGTAAAAAGAACTCACACGCAAAGACCATTCAGCTTCGCGGGCAGTGGGCATTTCGGACGTCCCAACTCTGGAGTCACGTCTTTGTACCGTTTAGCGTCACCCATCCCACCGGTACGCAGTCCTCTGTCGTTCACCAACTATTTTTGCTTCACAGCCAGGAAACAAAAAAAATGCAAACGACACACTCGTATTACCCTGGTCGAACGCGACACTAGTGGGTACCCTCGCAGCCTCCTAAGGGCCAGGTCATGGGTTTGAGTCCCGGCAAAGTGAGTTCTTTCTCTCACTTAATAAATCCTGGTCTAAGTTGGAAGCGACGCGTTGCAAAGCTCGTTGTCAGTAAACTAGATCGACTTCAGAAGTCGCGAGGGAAGGGATTGCTGTACCCTTCTCGCGATAAAAATATATCAGGCAGGAACCGCAGGAGGGGGTCCACCCCCCCCCTCCTATATGACCCCGGTTGGGTCGTCTAGCTAGTAGAAGTGGAGGATGGGGGCCAGAGGGGCAGACGAAAGAGTCCAATGATGGGAGAAAAAAAAAAATAATACTGCAGTTTGCGTGAAATGAGTCCAGCTGACTGGTGGACGCCCATTTTTACCCTGCCGTTCGCAAGAGGCCCGTACTAACACTGTCGCATCTACTTTCCCTGCAAATCCAACTCTGATTTTCAGTACATTATCCTACGTACCCAGACGACTATTCCATCGCCATTTTCTCCGCAGGAGTTCCTTTTGCGCTCGAACCAAAGTACACCCAATTCCCCAAGTACACGGTATCTTCCAGCTCCAAACAGACAATGGGAACCGACAAGCGCTCACACAATTGAACGTAGGATACGTACGGTTCACAATGAAAGCCAACATGAATGCAGCATTCCAGGCAGTAGTGGGTATGGATGTGTGGTGGCAGAGAGGGGGAGAGGAGAGACAGGCACATATACCAAACGGATCAATACAGTAGGTGGCCCGATATAGTGGCATATAGGGGCAAGACCAAATGATGCCATTATTCGGGGCAGTGCCACTATTCGATATAGCGGCACTATTGCCACTATTGCAATGTCAATAGTGGCATTCTTGCCACTATATCGAATGAGAAGCTGCGAAGTTCACGACATCGGCAGCGGTTCATTGTATCTACCCTCACATGCGCTGTTACATGCGGGTAAAGTCGTGTACTGCTGCACTCCTCGTGGTTGAGCACTTGTGTTTGCAGCAGTATCCGCATGAAACACATGAAATGACAGTTGGTTATCCAAGGGTCGCCGAGCGTTCTGCGGTCAAAACCTATTTTTCATTTTTCAGTGCAGGCAGACCACCGAAACCACGCCCAAAGGTACTACTGTAGGAGGCACATAATATACGTTTTGTCCGGCGGGCTATGTAACACGGGGTTCAACACACTTAGAAGAAATGGCAACTAAAACAACAAAGCTTGTAGAGCCAAACGCTCTCCACCCCGGCGCATCAACCCAACCGCCACGATGCTCTGCAACTACCTATGGGAGAACTTCTTCTTTTTCGCGGCGGCGCCATCTCCGACAAGTCCCCGGTTGGGGGAGGCACGCTTAGGCTGATTCGAGGGGTTGGGTGCCTTTTGCTTCTTGGCGATGCACCGGTTGCAGGCGCGGTGTATTTCTCTGCCGCCCTCCTCCTCTGGTTCACCACATATACCATGAAGCCGGCCACCGCAGCCGAGGCGACATGTGTGCCCGTCTTTCTCTCCCAGTGGTCGGTGTGGGAGTTTACACAGTTCTAGGTCCGCGCAGGCTGGCATGATACGTGTGGCGCCCACTGCTGAGGGTGGTGTGGGCAGGTGTGGTCCAGCAGTAGTGGGGGCCTGCTGTTTGGAATTGCCACTACTGGGTGTTTGAGATGGCAAATATGCCACTATTGAGGGCCCCGTCCTCAATAGTGGGAAAGTGCCACTATATCGGGTTGAGATTTGCCGGGAGATTTTTATGCCACTATATCGGGCATTCACTATTCAGGGTGCCACTATAAAGCCCCATTCCGGTCGCCCCGGTGGTCTAGTTGGTAGCCTCGTAACCTTCTAGAGGTCAGGTCAGGGGTTCGTATCCCGGCGTAGGCGAGCTTTTCTTGCAAAGTGAGTTTTTCTCTCGCTTCCGCTCCTGGCCAAGTGGATAGCGCTAGTTCGTGTGTACACAGAGGGAAGAGAGTGCTGAACTCTTCTCGCGTTAAAAATTGAAGGCGAAGTACCGCAGGAGGGGAGGGTAGAGAGAGGCTCTTCTGTGTGACCACGGTTTGGAATGAACTGATTTGAAGTCAAGAACAAAAAATAAAAAAATAAATGAATAAATAAAGTGCTACCTACGTACAAGTACTGCTGTAAGACGGGCGATTTCAAAGGGCATACAATTGTATGTACATCGTTGTACTTCGATTGCCATACAGCTGTACTGCTGTAAATCATGTACGCCGCTGAGTCGCTTCGTCTCTTCACCCCAAATACGAAAATCAAGGTCTGCTGGAAGAAATACTTCTGCTGCAGTAACCCTACAGCAGTCGAAGGCTACAGTAGTAGTCTTCACCGCAGTGTGGGTGAAAGACGGTACACCGTGTCCGTGTGGGTGTAAGGTACTGCTGTAGTTGTGACACGCAAGGAACGGCGGTGCATCAAGGCATTGTGCCTACTGGAACCACAGCAGTATTGTTGGATTGTTCTGCACATGTCAACAGCCAGCCACCACGTCTCCCGCCCAGGAGGAGAACCAGAGCGAAGCACTATGATGATGATTACACTGCAGTTGCGACGTTACGACACACACACACCTCTCATGGTTATCCCGCTAGGCAACAACACTGGCCCCGAGAATGGAATAAAACACACGGGTAAAGAAAAAAACGCCGCGCCGGGCGTCTCACACACCCAGCGCCTACTCAATTCGAAGCTCGCTCGCTTACACAGATCGGAGTAACTGCACTGCAAAACAGCCCCCCGACGAACTGCTGCAGGTAGGGACTAGCAACGGGTGTGTGCAGTGTCCACATCGCCTGGTAATCTAGCTAGACACATCGAGCATCACATGGATGGACCAGGAGAAAAGAAAGGTTCTTCTTGGTGCTTGAAGGGTTCAGCGCGCCGATCATGATGTCGATGTCCCCATCGGGGTTTACTGGAGTCTTGGTAGAGAGCCGAGAAGCAACGTGATAAATATGGGTATGTATGTGAAGCTGCAGGACGAGATGACAAACGCCGCCGCTCGCTTCTCCTTCCTTGTCGTCGCTCTCACAACACCAGCCCCCCCCAACACATCTCACCTTCAGTAGCTTGATTAAGAACTGCTCCTGTTGTCAGTGTTCCCAGTCCTCTCTTCCTCTTCCTGCTCCGTTTGCAATTGGTGTGATACGAGGCGCGATTGACGCACAGGGTCAAAAACAAAGAAACAAAGAGCTGGCCTGTGATGTGTTTCATATACGACAGACAGCGGAGAGACAGAAGTTTGACGTTTGGTGGTGCCGTGGCCGACAGCAATGCGGCGAGATTTGCGAATAAATAAAAAAAACACACACACACACAGAACGGAACCAGAAATCTGCACTTCAAAGAGCCAGCCAGCCACATCTATGTGCTGATAGGAGCACGCATGCAGTCATTCCGTTTTAGCTCAGCTACCTACCTCTCTTGGATTGCGGAGCTAGCCGGCATTTCGGATCCAGCCGTTGTGCGATACTAATCATCTCCGATAGGACTTGAGGAGGACGGACTGTAAAGCTGTAGTAGCATACTGCACTACGTCTGCTCCTTGCTGCTGCTCTTGGCTGACCCAGGACTTCGAAAATCCCCACAGCAGGTACGAACAAACTCCTTTATGTGTGGTCGAAGGATGGACTGCGCTCCTTTGTTTGTGGTCGAAGGATGGACTACACCATACATCACATACTGCAGCTGCCTTCACCTGTCGCCGCCATTCCACGTCTACCTGTCCATGACACTTGCTGCCAACTGATGAGACAACTGATGCGACGACACCAGGGTACAACATGGACACAGGGAGTACTCCCCCTGCCCATACACCGTCAAAATTGCTTACAAACAAACTAGAACAACTTGGAACAACCTCTTTTTCATTTCAT